TGTTTTAGGGCAGCAAACCCTGGTCTCAGGCCACGTTGAATTTAGCTTGAAAACCACAGCTTTGAAGCCTCATGCGCGCCATACCCGGGAACAGAACTGTAGCTACTTGTAGCTACCCTGGGTCCGTATAAATACTATGTTGCTATACCTCTTACACACCTATACAAGTTCAAAGCACGAATGCGACTTCAAAGCTGTGGATTGCTGTGCGTGTGTAGAGGTTCTCAAGCGGTTGACGGAAAGGCAACTTGAAGTACTATACCTGGTAGCTGCACTATGGCTACCCTAGGTCTCTATACCTTGCAAGGTGCCAACTACACCTTTCCATTCAGATGATGCAAATGATGCATTTGGCATTTCTTGCATCACCACCCCTCAAAAATCACCTCCAACACAACCTCAAAAAACCTTCCCTCGAAGCACCCTCCTCCCCCAGCATGTGCCGAGTTGACGTATACCTTTCTCGGGCCACCCCCCCCAGACCCCCTAACTACTCACTTCGTTCGCCAGACACAACTCCGCTAGCGCCTTCTACGAAGGCTGGCTTTCGTAATTTCTGCCTTTGGGATATGCACTCATGTTTGAAGAGTCAAAATTCCAACTACGTATTCTGACTGGACCTACACATGTTCTATCTCTGGTGGGTATGTCTTTTGCCAATGTCTTGCACGCTATCTGTATCTTTTTTGTATTCCAAACATATTGTTGTTATGTATTTAATATACAGAAGGGGGGTGAGGGGGGGGGAGAGTATGCATATTGTAGAAACGCGCGTTTTTTGCACTCTCTACTTCAAAGCCTTCTATCCGCTGCTGAAATGCTGAAAATTACAATACAAACAAGCAATCTCTCTTGCATTGATAGGCTTGTGAAAGTTGTTCTTTTGTAAGGTTTTGTTCTTTATGGTGAATGATATCTTTTTAATAGGGTTGTGAAATTTGTAAATTTCCTGCTCTATATGCAATTGGTAAACATATTTATTCATTCAATTATGAATTGTAAAAATGCTTAAATCCATAAGCTAGGTGTTTACCAAATAGTCCCCATGCAAAATCATATGTATTTCCTTTAGAGTGGGAATTGTATTGCTCTTATTAAATGCAGTTGGGTAAATACATCAGAATTAGAAGGCAAATAGTTATAAATCCTAAATAACTAAATTCTATTTTAATTCTTATTCAATTCAAATTCAAATCTATATGTAAATTCAGGTTCAATTCTATTTCAATTATATTTCAAGTCTATTTTGCTTCGAATTTCCTTCATTGGGATTCAATGCAAGCCAAATTATAATTCGATTTTACCCTTAATTTCATTATTATATAGTTCAGATTCAATTCTAATATTTCATTCGTGTTGAATTAAAATTTGGATTTTATGAAATTCGCATTTATTTCTAGGGAATTGATCTTGCTTTGAACAAAAAAGAGTTTTATGAAATTTTTCCAATATGAAAGTATATTCTTTCTTTAATGAAATATATTCATACCACCAATAATATTCATTCTCTAGAATGCACGCTCTAGAATGGAAGCAAAACTCAATTAGAATTCCATTTGCATTGAATTGGAATCAAGTTAGACAAGTAGATATATAGATCAATTGAATTTAAGTTATATAAAGACGTTAACATTAGAAATCATTAACAAATCAATTGGAAATTTGAATAGACAAAATTCCAATTCTTAATGCAAAACAAAATGAAATAGAATTAAGTGAGAAATAGATTGGAATTAAATTGGAATTGAATGAATAATATTAAATCAAAAAATCCATTATTCAAATTGAAATTGACCTAGACCTAAGGTAGAATTGAATTAAAGATATTTAACCTAGGAATTAAATAATAGAACAATATTGCAATATTGATATAAAATTAGGTTATAAAGAATTCAATTTAATTAAAATTGCAAATTCAATTTGAATTCCAATAAATAGAAGGCACATATATTCAATTTAGAATTAAATTGGAAATATATTGCAAATTCACATATGAATTCAATTTGGACTTTAATATTAGATCCAGAATAACCAAAGATAATTACAATTACAACAAAATTAAATTAGAATAAAATTGAATTGTAATTTGAATATAATGAATTTTAACAATACATAAACTTAATTTAGAATTTAATTAGATTCAATTTAGAAGTAAAATAGAAGTCTATTACATATTCAAAACAAATTTATCAATAAAAATAGAAATGAAACAAATTCAATTAGAATAAATATTGATTTAGAATTTAGTTCAATTGTATTTAAGTCAAAATTCATAGAATTAAATTTAGAATTGCGTTAATACCTATTTAGAAATGAATAAGAAATAGTGCTTATTTCTTTTTTGCAGACCAGCCAAAAAGAATCATACCCATGGAGAGGGGCCCAGGAGAGATTGGACAGTAGACATAGGTCCAACAAGTTCAGACTCATGGAGAGGGACCCAGGAGAGGCTAGACAGGAGACATGGGTAGACCAGCGAAAAGACAAAAAATCAGACCCATGGAGAGGGACCCAGGAAAGGCTAAACAGGAGACAACCAAAACTGCAGACCACATGTCCACAGAGTCAGACAAGAGCCCCAATGGGGTCTGCAGTTTTGTTTTTTTGTTTTTTCGAGGTTTTTGCATGGTTTGCTCCAGGTGGCCAGAACCTCGAAAAATAAAAAACAAAACTGCAGACCACATGTCCACAGAG